AGAATCCCATGAATATGGGATCAGATTTGATTTCATTCAATGTAAAAAAAACATTTAAATCTTAACAAAATAGAATATAGCAACACTGCCCTCATCTTGGTCACTTTACCTTAATGTACAAGTTGGGCGGTGCATAAAGATGTTGAATCCTATGTATATTTCATAAAGAGTGGAGTCTTGGCTTTTCTTTTACATACCGTTTATGCTATAAGAGCAATGTAAAATTTATTTAAAGATCTGTTCACATCAGGCACAGAATAGGGCACACATCCCTCCAGACTAACTTATCATAGAAAACATATACATGCCTCCCTTTCAGCATTGCATTCAGTAAATGGTTGATCTTAAAGGTGTAAGCAAAGCTTGAACTGCATCACTGTTGTTATGAAAGGTCTGCACCTAGGTTGTTGTTTTTTTTGTTCTTTTTTTAGCAAGTAGTACAATATGGATTTTCCAAAAGCAAAAACCTATATCTTATACATGGGTAATGGAGGGCCCACAATATAAGACTTATGTCTGTTCTGCAGCACCTGTGCTGAGCCATCTGTTCTACTCTAATTTGGTTAGAATTCTCAAAGGACCATTGCTTTACACCTGACAATTGGAACTCCCTTTTAGATAATCTTCATGTAGTTTGTTTGCCTTCTGTGAAACTGGTGGTTTTGAGGCACCTTGTGTTTTTAATACCTAGGGCTACTTCACAAATAGTCGGCATCTTCAACAGCACTTGTATCAGTATCTGGGGGATTCATGAGAGGCTGGGATTAGATGTCAGAGAGGCAGCATCTGATGTGGACATGTGTATGACATAGTCTCTATAAAAGAGCAGGACACTCCCATGTACAGTACATTTGACAAGAGATGAAAAAGCATTTGATACTTTTTTAATTGTTTGGATCTCAGTGTTTCATGGGAGTTCAGTTTTCTTATCCTCCTGGTGTTCACTTCTTCTTTCAAATGTGAATCTTGGCAACAAAGAATCGAACTGTGAATTTGGTGTGGGGAATGGTGTTTAAATTTTAAGGCACTTTTCTGCTGTGAAGCTTGAGGCTACATGTGTACAGATTGAATGGAATGTATCATTTTAATAACTGCATAGATTTTTCAGTTGTATTTCAGATAAGTTGTTTTTCCCTGTTACATTTAAGTTTTATTTTCTTATCTACCTCATTTGTTACTGCTGTTTAAATTCAGGCTCAGATGTAAACAACCCGTTCTATTGTACCTATATGGTTCTTATAATCTGTTTAAAATAGTGTTTGGACACACATGCCTCTCCCTTCCTGCCGTTTTGCACCTTGGTATTTCACAAGATCAGCTCAAACTCTGTTTACTATCTTAAGAAGGATGTTTAACTTTCACAAGGAAGACTTTAGAGGTTTCTTCATCACCTTGACTTTAACTTAATGTGACAGATGGATGAAAAGAACAAATCCATGCATTGTTTTTAGAGTATGTTGCAACTGGTTGCAACAGTTTAGCAAAGTGTGTGACTCCCCCCTCCCTCATTAGTCTTTCATTCAGCAGTGAACCTGATGTATATGGGGGGGGAATGGGCTTGATAAGCTTGCTTTCTTTAGGAAGAAATTCTACTTTGGATTGGCACTGAGTTATTTTTGACAGACTGCTGAGGACAGGACCCATATAGTGCCCCCGGACTCATAACTATGGTCAAGAGTCCAGGAGCAGGATTTTAGAGTATCATTTTCTCTCGTCTGAATTTTTCTCACACTCTGCTGGTATTGTCCTTATTTACATCTTAGGTGACACTAGTCTTAACCATGGTTAATGCTAAAAACTTGTCATTTATCACCATTTACAGCAAACATATGATCTCTGCCTAACCATATGTGTGTTAGGCTTTCTTCCAAACCAGGTTTGTCCAGACATAAGCCCTGACCTGTGTACGTATGCTAGCGTTATGGTGTATGCAACCCATGATTTGATATCTTAATCAAGTGTAAAGAACTGGGAATGTTATACTGGCACAGGCCCTTTGCAAAGTATTGTCGAAGGCAGATCTTTCAAATTACTTTTGTGAGGACAGCATGGTTCCTTAAAATTCAAAAGCCCAGCCACATTCTGGTAAAAGTTGTGTAATTTTTGCAGATTCAGTCTTTGAAGGTATACTGTTTCAAATCTCAATTAATGACTGAATAAGTCAGATTTAATATCTCTTTTGAAATGTCTTGCCCACCTCTAAAAATGACCTGGGATAGCAAGTAGAAGGTAGAAAGGCATAACTCTTTAGGGGATCATTACACACATACTTTGTTTTTCCCCCTTTTTTAAAAACTGTTTTTCTCAGTAAATGTTTCTGATGGTTCATATTCCATGCCATATCCAAAAGAAAGTGTGATAATTATCAGCAGTAAAGTAATAAAACTGGCCCACAGAACCAAATCCAACTCTTCATATATGTAGAGTTTTACATGTGTTACATGTCACCAACTTGTATCATTTATACAATGTGACATTTACCCAGCTCTTGTAGAACATCAGAATAAAACTGCAGTGAGCTAGACTCCTAACACAGTATGCATTTTGACTGTCATGCAGCATAAAGAAATGTAGCCTTTGAAGCAAATGAAAACCAGCCAACTCAGACCAGCAATGATCCTGACACTTGATATATTAACAAAAAATGCATTTTTATTTTCTCATCTTAATCAGTGGTGGCGAGCTGGTTTCCAATGCAGCAAAATGTTTAAAAGGCCAAGCATGTGTTATATACCAGGCTGTACCTTCTTATATGTAACAGCTACTTCACAAGCTGCATTTTCTATGTGAGTCTTTCTCCATGTAGAAAAACTGTGCATGCCATCATGTGAAATATGGCATGAACAATTGCTTGGCTGCAAGTCAAAGCAAGCATGAATGCCTGCAAGCGTTTGTATACTTGCTGCCTTATACTTCACACAAGATGATGCCCACTGTGGGTTTTTCCCCATCCTACAGTGAAATTACCTATATGTAGGAAAAATACTATGTGTGAAGTAGTCTTCATTGACGGTCACTGAAATGCAGGAAAGTCTTGTGAAAGTCCCTATATGTGTTACTTGTTATGTATTCCGCTTGATCCCTCACAGAGACCTGGTGGTTACCTGGCTAGCATTTTAACAGAGCTGGTATATCAAGTTGTTCCTTTTCTCATATCTGTCTAACAGAAGGCATGCCAGATGCAGAAGAGGGAACGGTTTACATGTAACTGGAAGAAAGAAGGAGAACATTTCAGGTGGGATCAGGGGCAACATACAGACAAGTTATACCACAGGAGATAAACAGATATACTTTTACATGAAGTTTTCCTTGTCCTCCTCCAGAGCTATGGATTTAATTTGCAGGATTATGAACCACCTTTTTAAAAAGCATCCCAGGAGGATGTTGTGTGTGGTGTGATATTTTTGTTAACTCAAGCCAGAGACGCCCCCCTCCCCTTAATTATAAATTCTAGCAGTTATTTTGGAAGCACATTTGAAGATTTGTTATGCTCCAGTCAAAACAGGTAAATAAGCAAAATCCTTTCAGTTCAGACTATGGCATTTTATCTGGAGAGAGGATTTTGGTGTATGTTTTCACTAAAAACTACCGAGGAGCATGCAAGTCTAATTCAACAGCATGGTCAGTTAAGATTTATGCTGTGAATAAATCGTCTCCTTGGATTGGGGTACTTCTCATTTACAGAAATAGTTTTTATGTATGTGTTCTGTACATTAATGTAGCATCTTAGAACTTATTTTTACACACATACTGTTGAACATTAAGGATGAGACTTATATGGCTGCACAGAGGATTCCAGTGACCAGTTCATTGTAGCAGGGATGAGGGGGCCTAGTCAGTTCCTGAAAAATCATAGCCCTGAACTTTATAGTAGAAAATGAATGTCTTTTATCAGCAGTTTTTCCATGTTTTTTTAATTATTATTTTTGCAAGCTGTGAGTTAACTTCATTTGTACACAACCATTAACGAATATTTTTTTAACTGTTATGAAGGAAAATAAAGGCTGTGTTGGAAGAAAACCCCACCATTGAACTATTGTCTGGATTTTACTAGTTGCTGTGGAGGAAAAAACATAGGAAATGTGCTATGTAAATATTGTTTTACTAGAATGCTTTATGCATTGAGAAAAATGTGTATATAACAAATTCTTCCCTATAGTCAAAATTAAGATACCCAACTTTGTAAATTTATTCAGCATTGTATTACTAAAAGCATACAGGCCATGAAAAACTTGTGTTAAATACAGGATTACAACCTGAGCAAAACAGGTCACTGATTAGGCAACTCCATGGCTGCCTGTTTCAGTTGTGATTTGAAAAAGAACTACTGGCTCAAATCCTGTTTCTTAGTGTAATAGAGTGTAACTGCATCAATAGGGTTTGGTGAATCAAATCTTCTATAAATTCCACTGATTAAGTAAGCCTATTCTACTTACAATTTACTAAACTGAGCTATTAACTGAATTTTTGGAGCTGATGCAGATAGGCAGCCTAGCAGCTTACCAGGTAGGTGATATGCCTTGTGCTCTCACTTCACTTTCTCTCCAGTTGGTTGATTGGAAGGACATGCGTATCTATGTGTGTGACAGTCTTCTGATATTAACCAGACATCTAAGACAGTGGTCCCCAACCTTTTCCGAACCGCAGACTGGCGGACTCTGTGCACAGGGGGCAGGGCATCCCAGCTCACGGGTGAGCAGGTCACACCCAGGGTGGGTGTGGTGCACTCGCGTGCATGCACAGATGGGCATGGCACACTCACAGGTGGGGCGCACTTGCACGCATGGGCAGGTGGGCGTGGCGTGCTCACACGCATGTGCAGGAGGGCATGGCGCGCTTGTGGGTGAATGGGGCATGCAAGTGTGGGTGAGTGGGGCACCCATTTGTGCAGGTGGGCGGCCCGTGCGTCCATGTGGGCATGAGTGGGGCGAGTGTGTGCGGGGGTGGGAGATCTATCTCCGCGGCCCAGTCCTGCGAAGGCCATGGACTGGCAGCAGGCCGCAGACCGGGAGTTAGGACCCCTGATCTAAGGGATAGAGAAACTTATTTCCAAGGACCACATGATCTTAGAGTTAAAAGTGTTGGGTAGTGCAGACTAGTACCATATTTTCCCGAAAATAAGACAAGGTCTTATATTAATTTTTGCTCCAAAAATGCATTAGGGCTTATTTTCAGGGGATTTTTTTTTAATGTACAACAATCTACATTTATTCAAATACAGTCATGTCATCTTGTTCCAGTTGCTGCACAATGGTGGAGCGCAGGGTTTCACTTAACTAGGGCTTATTTTGGGGGTAAGGCTTCTATTACGAGCATCCTGAAAAATCATATTAGGGTTTATTTTCAGATTATGTCTTATTTTCAGGGAAATGGTAGTACTGTAGATGGTACCTGTGCCAGCCCTTAGTCTTTTCTCAAGAGAATTCACAGCCCAGTCACCTCAAGGATGTTTGGTTCTCTCATGCACAAACATATATATAAACATACATCCTTTCCTATCCAGCAAGCCAGCTGTAAGTGGGAATTAAAAGAGGGAGAAAGAAATAAGCATTAAAAGTGAAAATGAACAAACAGTATCCCAGACAACTCTATCAATTAGTTTATTTTTAGTTTCTCCATGTACATAAAAGAAAGTAAAAACAGTATGTTATCATCTAGTCCCAACTGAAGTTTACTTCATTTTAATGTTTGTAATTTTACATTAAAAATCCAATTTACATGAAAATCCAGTATCAAAGCAATATATTGCAGTATTTTTGTCCACTCTGTAAATGGAATGCTGAAGTAATCCAGCAGGGTTTTTGTATTTTTAAAAGTACACATATATACAGAAAAAGAGTAGTAGAAATATAAAACTCCCGATTAAGATAAGAACTAAGCATTCCTGTAAGTTTGGGGTAAATAAGAAGCCCAGGTATCATCTGTTATCAAAAAGATACCCAAACAGTGCCATGTATTACTGTTGAAGAGAATGCCTTATTTGTACCATGGGCTGTCATCTGCCTCAGGGCAGAAAGTGGGAAGGAGGGCATACACAGAAAGGCCTTTGATTACTCATATGCAGATGGCTTTGGGTGGGCAAACCTAATCACTGAAGTATTCCATTCTCAAAGGACTCAAGACTTCAAAGGATAGCACTATTACACAGAATCATATCTCTATGTACGTTAAAGTAACATTTTAAGGTGTTATCTTAAAAACTGAAATTCATCATGGTAGGTGGTTGTGGCCAGTTCTGTTATACATCCAACATAGTTGACTCCATAGTCAACAAAACCTTGAGAAATCTCCAAGACTGCAAATGTCAACGGGAGGTGGTCTCGTGGATAATGTGAGCTGTGTCTCTCCATAAAATGTGGGGAAAAATCCAGTGTAGATTTTCCTTTGAGCAATAGAAAAAAAAAACCCACCACTCCCAATCATAGTTGCTGCTGTGGTAACAAGGGCAAAAAAAGAGGGCATTCTGGGGGGCTGATATGGAAAATTATTAAAACCAGCAGATTTAAACTGCCTCCCCTCCTTAGACAAGCTCTCAGAATTATGGGAAAAACTATCCCAGATTTAGGGTCCTGGAGATGCTGTATGAAAGTTTCACATTCAAAGCTAAGTAAGTCCAACAAAGCTATATAAAGACTGCAATATGAAATTTTGTTGAGCTGCAGATAATCACTAGACTGGATCTGGAAGCCTTTAGTCTTCTAAATGCTTTGGGCTACAACTCCCCATAACCCCCACCCAACACAGACAGCAGTCGGCACAGTGGAAATTTTAGGCCAAAATATCTTGAACGCTTCTGGATGGGCCAGTAGTCCTATGGAATGGGGGCCATCATGTAAGATTCATGTTGTTTCATCTTTTTTGCACAGTTTACTGAACTACTGTTATATCACGGTTTTGCCCCAATATTTATAAAGCAAAAAAGCATGCTGCTTATACCGCCCCATAGCACATGAAACACTCTTTGGGCGGTTTACAAGTTAATTATGCAGGCTACACACAGAGATTCAAGTGGGACAGATAGAACATTTGCCCATGAAAATTCACCGGGGTGGGGGCAATGTCAGCAATAAACCACTACATAAATATTTCCTACACCTGGCAAACCCTATTAGACTTGTCACAGATTGGGAGCAACTTGCTGACACATAACATTTAAATAGTTACTGAGATCCATTTGTTTTCTTTGGGCCTGGGTTTCTAACGATTTGATTTACTCCCAAAAAGGAGCATCAACATGGTGGTGGCCTTTCTTTGCGGGGGACTTCAATGCTGTCGGTGAAATACTGTACCTGCAGCGCCGCCCTGGGGAACGGTAGTGTTTCCATTGAGGTGCGTCCTCCTAGTTGTGGCACTGGCTTAAAAAAAAAAAGGGGGCCGATTTATCAATTGCCACAACAGGTTCAAGGTGCAAATCCCTTGAAATAAGCGACACTGAACTTTAGAGAATTTATTTCTGACCCAAGAAGAATACAGCCGAAGCGGACTCGGTAGGGAGCATCTTTTGCAGCAAAACCCCAGAAAAATTCTTGGGGCGTTTTAACACAACGGCTCGGGCCTCGAAATAAAAAGGTATCCGGTTTAAGGAGGTCGCCTCGTCAACCAACTCCACTCCAACGATGCCCGTCAACCGGCCAGACCCCGAGGCGGGCGAAGGAGGTCGGAGCTGAAGCGTCCAGCTCCCCTCGGAGACACCACCAGACTGTGTGCTCTGCAAATAGGGAATGTGGAAATGGAGACGCCCCCGCCGCCGCCGCCCTCCCCCCGCTCAACATGGCGTCCCCAATGAAACCCCTCATGAGTAGAGGCCATGAAGAAAGGTAGCTCTGACTCTCTCCCGGACCTGGGACTACATCTCCCGGCGTACAGAGCGGGCCGCAGAGACGTGACAATATGGCGCCCTCGTCCTTCCAGCTAATCACTTACCAGGCGTCCCCCACTACCACCATCTTCCGTGTCTCAGATGGCCGTTCTCACGTTATGGTAGTTCTACGCTGCTGCTGCTGGTGCTCCGTGACAGGAAAACACCCGCTATACTCCCATGAACTTGTGCGTCAACGACACATGGCAACGGAAGGAAAATACCTCACCAAGGCCTGACCATGACCGAACCGGGCTTGGTGGCACTCGTAGTGCTTCTATCTTCGCACTAAAACTTCCAGCTTCCTCACCTCCCGTGAGGCCGAAAAATGTCGGTACCAACAAAAAAAATGGCGAACCGCTGGTGTCATCGGAAGTTGTAGTCCTAAATTGTCTTTCGTTCTGGTGTGTTTTTCTTTTGGCTCTGTGATTTTCAACTTGGACTACAAGTCCCACAACACTGTGCCGCTCCAGGAAAGCGCGGCAGACATCCTGACAACATGGCGGCTTGGGTTGCCCTGCCGGGAGTTGTAGTCTTTTTCCCGCCGACGGTCCGCTTATTAATAGCGGTCAGGCAGAACTAAAACTACTGCTCCCGACAGGCTACAGTTCCAGCTGGAGGGAAAGGAGGAGGAGAGAAGGAGGGGGGAAGAAGAAAGCTACAACATGGCGGCTGCATCCATTCCCAAGAAGTGAGAGCTGTGAGAAGTGAAGCCCCAGAAGCAGGGCTAGCTTTGACCGGATCAGGTGCTCGTCTCCGGGTGCCAGCCCCTTCGGCTTCCCTGTGCGTCCCAGCGGCAGTGGGCCTTGCATCTCTCCACCGTGCATAGCCATGGGGGTGCAAGGTTTCCAGGAGTTCGTGGAAAAGCGCTGCCCAGGGGCCGTGGTGCCTGTAGACCTGTTGAAGCTGGCCCGGACCGTAGGGGGCCGTGGAGGCGGGGGCCCTGCCTATTGTGCCACCTTCCACCCGGCAGCTGCCTACTCCCACCCAGCTGGGGCAGCGCCAGGGCTGGCGCCGATGGTCGGTGCCAGCGCATACCCGCACTCTCAGCATGCCCCGGGGCTGGCACCTGCACCACCCTGCCCAGCTCGGCTCCTGGTGGATGCTGATTCTGCTTTGCAGCGCCTGTATGGCGGCTACCAGACTGATTGGGTGTGTGGGGGCCAGTGGAATGCGATGGTGGGGTACCTGGCTGCCCTTTCTCAGGCTTGCCTTTATCAAGGTGGGCTGGAGTTAGCTGTCATCTTCAATGGAGGGCTCGGAAAGGAGAGGCTGCCCGAGTGGGGCAGGAAGGCCCAAGCTGAGAGACAGACAGCTCAGCTAATAGCTGGGCATGTGGGCAACAAAGGTACCCCACCACCCCGAGCCTGGTTTCTTCCTCCTGCCTGCTTGGGCCACTGCATCCGCCTGGCCATGATTCGGTTCCGGGTCAAGGTAAGGTCCATATGGCCATCCTGAATACACCCCACTACCTCCTGTAGAGTCCTGCTTTTGACTGCCTTCATGTTGATTGTTTTTCTTGTCATCTCTTTCCTCTCAAGCCATGCCACTGGGCGTACTGTACTGATTATATTTCTTGTGAATTGAATGTTGTATTTGTACAACCATAGCCTTTGAGAGCATCACCAATCTAAGAATTCTTTGATTCTCCCTGACATCATCTCTTACGCTTAAGGCATCTTGCTCGCATATGTTGTTGGCCTCTGTTTCTGCTTAGCTTGTATTTCACATTATATATCTTTAAAGTTAATTTTCAGTTTCCAGTGTTACTGGTTAGAAACAACAGGTACATTCAGGTGCAGGTAAGGGACAAAAGCTGCTTCTTTCACTGTGCCCTGGAGCTGCTTCTCTTCTGAGTTCACAGCCTATAGTTGCGAACTGTGTTTGCTTTTGAAATTCTGTACTACCCTCCAAGATACATGGTTTTATAATGTGCTGTTTACTGACAATTGGAAGCAATAAACTTTTTGCCTGTTGATGAAGCCTCCTTGGTCAGGTGGAAATACCACTTACTACAAGCCACTTTACTGTGTCTTCCTATAGTAGGTTTTCTGTTTACAACACAGTCTATCAGCCTCCACCAATCTCACACCTTCCATATATATTGGATTACATCTCTCATTATTCTCAACAAATGCTGGCTGGCATTGAACGTACATTCAGCTAAAAAAAATTATGCATGAACCCTCCTCACTTAAACATGGCAGATGTTCTCAATGTAAGCATTTGTGTAATAAGCAATACTTCTTTCTGATAAAAAAAACTAATAAAATTGTGTCATTTTTTAAAGCAACATGTGGATAAATGATTTTAGCTTGCTTTTCATATATAAAAATGTCACAAATATTGGAACCCAGAGTCTCTTGCTCTCACAGCAGTGTTTAAGTTACCCTTCCCCAAAGTCTCACTCTTGGCTGGCAGTGATGGGGCTGTAGCCTAATTCACTTAGAATACATCTGGTTTGGAAAGGCTTGCTGTAAGGTTACTATTCTGCTTCCAGTTCAGCTCAGTACATTTGAATCTTTGCACCCCCTGGAAAATGAGTGTTAGCTGTTCATTCGAGGCAGATAGCAAGAGTTTATCAGCTGAGGAAGATAGCTCCTATTCCTCGTTCTCTTCTCCCACTATCTCTTCAGTGTGAGGTGTAATAGAGATGCATTAAGTGAGGTGGAGGGGAGAGAAATTGATGCATCATCCAGTGCATGGTGTTGTTTAGTGCTTAATATTGTGTTTGGATATGACAAATGGAATTAATATCTCCACATGACCAAAATAAGTTACTTAATTGCCTCTGAAATACCGTATAATTTCCATTGATCTTCAGGAGGTTCAGAGGCTTTGCAAAACAGGAATAGACTACGCAGGGCTGTTGTAAATTTTGAATTAATGGACTTTATACACGTTCGAGTCCGGAAATGGTGTGACAGAAGTACTTTACTATAATCTGATCCCAGAAATTCCCTTTTAGTCTTTCTCAGTGGTCTTCCTTTCTGTGTGAAAGGCAGCACTTAAGTTCTGGTGGCTTCAGTATTATGACAAAAGGTAGAGGAACATCTTACTGGCTGGATCTGAATTTTATGCATATGCACTAATATTGGGCAGCTGTATAATGCAAAATACAATATTTGGTTAGAATCCTGATGATTTGAGTTTCTCTTCCTTACTCACTCTCACATCCCCCTCTGGATGTAAAGAGAAGGCCAAAGTTCTTTCATAGTAAATTTCTTGTTTTCTAGGTTCATGTCATTAGGTTCTTCAAAGCACAAATCAACAGGTTTTTCATATTTGAATGAAGCATTGTGAGAACATCCATGCTCCAGAATAGTTGTAGTATGTCATGATATCCAGCAGCCTGGTCATTAAAACACAGTACAAAACATGTCCTTAATATGTGACAGATATGAATTTTAGCCATGGCCTTTGGTACTGAAGTGAACAAGTTCCCTATCTACTGTGTAGAACCTCAGTATGCTTAGTTTACAGGTAAAGAATGCTATATTTCAGCTGATTTTTCTCAAATAATGACATGTAGCTTCCTAATGGCAAAAATAGATTGGCAAGCAAAAGCGTGGAGATAGCTAAAGTTGAATAAGCACTAAGAGCAACCGATTTGAAAAAAGATGAGCTTCAAATAACACCCTTAATTATTAAATAAACAACTCTTGTGTTTTTTTCTCAGTGCCTTTCTATCCTTCTTTGATAAATCAGTTATAAAATATTTTGCACATAGAACCATTATCCTGTTGCATCAAACCAAAGGCCCGATTAGATCAGCATTCTTTTGCCACAGTTGCCTGTCAGCCAGTCGCCTGTTAGAAGTCCACAACCAGGACATAGGTGACGTAGGATATGCTTGCTTGTGCTTCCCAGCAATTCATATGCCAAGCATATTGCTTCTGATACAGAAGAAGCAGCCCAAAGAAACTGTGTGGCAATGGGTCGTCCTGTCCTTGTTGAATTATCCAGTCTCCTTTTAAAGCCATGAATTTGATGGCCATTGGTACACCTTTTGGTAATGAATTCCACGATTTAACTCTGTGCTGTGTGATGAAGTACTTTCTTTTAAGCAGACCCGTATCTCCTACAGGTCACATTCAGTAGGCCAAAGTCCAGGTGTATTATGAGAGAGGACTGAAAACCTTCCTGCCTGGTTTCTCTCATTGTGCATAATTTTATACACACCTGTCACATCTCCCTTTGCTTGCCTTTTCTCTAAACAAATCTCAGACGCTTTAACCCTTTCTCATAATGAAATTGTTGCAGTTCCTTGATTATTTCGGTTGCCTTTTCCAACACCTTTTCCAGAATTTGCTGTCTTTTTTCAACTGTGGTGATCAAAACAGCCTATAGTATTCCACACGTAGTGGCATCATAAATTTGTATATGGACAGTTAGGCGAGGGGACCTGCCACCAGGTTAAGCCCCAGCTGCTCTCAGCACCACCTGCCAGTGCAAGGAGATGAAAAGGGCATAGAGCAGAGATCTCCAGCTCAATTTATCTGGGGGCCGCTAGAGGCAGAATCTGGGTGAGACTGGGCCCCATCAGATTTTCCGCCAAGCGGAGCAAGAGCCTGAAGAAGCCGCCCAGAGTTTCCTTAGCCCGGCTCTTGCACCCTTCATCCGGAAGTACAGCCTGCTAGCCGGCAGACAGGCGGGCTAGCTGGCAGGCTGCAGTTCCGGATGGCGGGTGCAAGAGGCGCTGTCTTGGGAGAGAGCCGGCGAGCGAGGCGAGGATTTTTTTTTGACTCTTGACAGCAGAGGATGCGTGGGCGCATCAGGGGCAGCAGGCAAGGCGGGGGCCGCAAACTATCATCTGTCAGGCCGCAGATGGCCCCCCGGGCCGCATGTTTGAGACCCCTGGCATAGAGGTTTCAATGAGTTGCCAGGCCCCTGCTGACCCAAAGAGCACTGAAAGTGAAGCAGAGGCCTGAGTGGGGCATGGAGAGGCCGCAGTACCTAGGCTTTAAATTCCAGTGGAATCTTACCATCCCAGTGGCGTGTCCGGTGAATACCTAAGAAGGAGGGGGGCAAGAGTAGGAAGCACTCCTTCAAACTGACAGAAATACCATATGGGGAAAAAGAGAGGGACAGGAGGGAAAGGGAGACAGAGTAAACAGTGAACTTGCACCGACCAGCCCAGAAAAACAAGGGAGGGTTAGCCATGCCTCACATGCGAGTATGGGTTAGACACTCTCCAAACTAAGATTTGCTAGCATCCCTGAAGTGGACATAAAAGTGTAGTTGGTCCAGACTGATGTAAACCTGAGTCTTTGAAACCTGGAATGATGCTGAAGCCTCAGAAAATGAAGCCTGGTCATAGGGAATTTGCCCACAGGGAATTGTTAGGAAGTGAAGGGTGCCAGGAGCTACGTACTGTACTGCCATTTTGTGAAAGGACAAGGCATCACCTGGATAGGGCCAGAAGGTGTTCCAAGAAGGAGGGATGAAGGGGAAGCACTGAGCGTTGCTTGTAAGACCAAGATCAACATTTACCTGATCCTAATAAGCATTCATGTGTCTTGGGCACAATAAAGGCATACTATTAGCCATTTTATTTTATTTTTTATTTTGTGGATTATGCCGATTTTTGAATTTGCCTCATTTACAGTGGCTATTTACTGGGTAGGCATTTTCATCAAGCTATCTACCACAACTCCAATATCATTCTTGATCGGTCATTGCCAATTCAGATCTCATCAGTGTATATGTAAAGTTGGATTTCTGTGCTTATTTCTTTTGTCACTGCGAATCACTTGACATATTGGCCCGAGCCCTCATTTTGTTTGTGTAAAGTTTGCACAACTTGCTGTGGCTAATTACACCCAATTGATGAGGTGCCAAGGTATGTCTCAACCACATGCCTGAACACATATTCAGCTGCATATTGAAAATGTGCCCCAGCACCTTGTCTATTAGCTGCAGCAAATTACGCAAATCTTACACAAATATCAGTAGGATTCAACTCACTGGATCTCATTTCCACTTTTAATATCAGTTTCCTAGGTTGGAGAAATCCTTCTGAATCTCTTTGGAATGTGTGTTTGTTTTAGCCATCCGAAATAATTTGGTATCATCGGCAAACTGAACTGGTTGCCTGTAACTCCAGATCTTCCATAAACAAATCAAAAAGCACTGCCCCCCCCATTCATAGGGGATCACAATATTTACTTGCCTCCATTTTGAAAAGCTTATTTATTCCACTGTCTGTTTTTCTTGTTTGTTAACTCATTTCCAAACCACAGGAGGAAACTGACTAAAGAACAACACTGATGTGGCTCATGAATTGAAGCTTTTGGCTGTGGAGCCAGGGACCAGGAGTTCAGTCCTTTATTGTACCTCCTGCTGTACTTTCTGGGGCTGGCTGAGATCACCCAGCGTGCGTGTGGCTGCTAGAATTACTTGGCCAGTCACTTGTGTATCTTTGGGCATGCTGCCAGAGCACCATCAAAAAGAAGGGTCTGGCAAACCACGTATGAGTACTTTATACCTAGAAAACCCTAGGAGACTTGCTATGAGTTGGAATCAACTTGACGGCACTTACTAGTTTTCACAATGGAGAAATATAAACTCGAGGATCCTCAGAGTTTGCTCACAAGTCTCTAGTGATGGATTTTGTCAAGAGCCGTGTGAAAGTGGAGGACTTCTAAAGCCCTGTTGATTTCACTGAGAGCTGCTTCAGTTTCTTAATCTGAAATCAGTGGGACATAAATGGATTTATCTTCTGGATTACACTGATAATAAATTGACTAGGGAAAGTAGGTGGCACTTTATCCCAAATACGTTCTGTTGTGGCCAGTTCAGCCACTACAGTAGTCTCGTATAGTTTTCTGTGCTGTCAGCATGTTCCAAAGAATCACACTGATTCTGCACACCTCACGTTTTTGGCCTGTGTTTCTTGAACAGCAGGCCCCATATTATGTAGCTGAAACTGGGGGGTGTTGGCGCCTTCAAAAGCACAGTGTGATATGACATAAGGTTGTACTCTTCAAAGCAGGAAGATAAAAATAAATCCCAAATCAGAGGATGATTCTGGCTTTACCCTGAGTCTTAAATCCCATAAAAGTTGTTTTTCCTTCCAAAGAAATTTCAGATTCTGAAGTTAAATCTGTGCTTTGGGTCCATTATAACAGGAATTCAGTTTGTCTGATTTTCCTTTATTTGCATAATCTAGTTGTCTGTGTCCCTAACCCTTGCAACTATTTTCTTTCCAATGCTGTACATTGGGCAGGTCGGGCCCTACCATTAGGCAGCTTCATTGTGCAGATCAGGGCACGAGTTAGCAGTGGCAACATTCAGCCATTCCCTTCACTTGGAAGCAAGATTATGGTGTGTGAGACTTTGTCCCCCTTTGCGAGTCATTCCTCTTCCACATACTGTACCCATAGCAATAGTTTCCAGCGCCTTTGGTTCTGGTCAGGATGGAACCTCACATGCCGGGAGGGGGGAGAGAAATGGGGTCTCGTGTGAGAGAGGCAGAGCAGGGCTAAGGAACGTTGCTTGAAGGATTGAGTTGACTTCTGGAACCAAGCTGAGGAGGCTTATTTCACACTGTTTAGCGACAGGGTCTGTGGGCTTTAGGGAAGAGATGGGGAACTCTTGGTTCCTCCATACATTTTTGACTGCAACTTTTGTCAGCCATCTGGCACAGTCATTTGCATGCAAGGGTTTCTGGGAGTTGCAGGCCAAAACATTTAGAGAGCCAAGGGTTCCAAGAGAAGCAAGGAAGGCTTCTACTAGGAAGCGGGCCTTCTCGGTGGTGGTCCCCACCCCTGTTCACTTTTGAACGGTCTGCACCAGAGATACATCAGGCCCCCTCCCTCCAGACTTTCGAGAAATTACTGTGGTATAAACGGCACAGTTTGAAGAAGCCCCTAGGGACATTCTTCCCCTCAAATAGCAGTTTGGACCAACATTCCCTCTAATTATCCGGAGTGCTGTGCAAAGGCTTCACTTCCTGCGGACGAGATTTCCGGCCGTGACTGGAAGCAAAAGGGGTGAAAACACTGGCTTGGCTGTGTGCACCTGATGCAACACTGCGTGCCCACATGTGCCTGCATGATATAGAGCGAATGTTGGATTGGACCTGTGGCTTCATTTTATTACAGAGGGTTTCACCATTATTTATTCAATTATTTAGTTACTTAAATATTTGTTGGGCTTTTAAAAATTTGTTTTCCTTTTATTTGGATGGGTGGGAGGTTTGTATGGGTTTGCTTTTGGTTTTTGTCTGTTGTTCCTGTTTTGGTGTGTGTGATCGCCCAGAGTAGTGAATTTTCTCTAAGTGGGAGGTATAAAAATTTATTAAATAAATAAATTATACCTGTGTAACGTTTAGGTGTTGATTTTTTTAAGGATGTCTCACAGTGACATATTCTCTTCCACAGGAGACTTCCTCTTAGTCTTATGGGAGGAATGGAAGAAAGATGTGGAACATAAAATTTTATTTAGCTCACAAGAGAGTTCTGTGCATAACACTAAATCCTAACTAGACATTATGTGCACACTGGCCCACTAAAACTGAACACAGAACTGTCATTAACTTGAGAGTTTGCAAGGCAACATATAACTGAAATGCTTCACACATGGTCTCTAGATGTTTTGTTCAAAGGGCATTTTAGAGACTCCTGTGCCCACACCTTTCATCCTTTGAGGGAGAGCGAACAGCTTCCATGGAACAGGAAGTGATGTCTGTGAATGGATTACTTAGAAGCAAGTTTACTCATGCGGCTTCTTGACATCAGTTGTGAGTTCAAGCCAAAAGCTTGATTGTGTGTCTTTGCACTCAGCCTTACTCTCCCTCCTTCCTTTCAGGTGTTCCAGAGCCTGGAAGATCATCATCAGGAAGTTGTATCCTTCTTCCAGGAGAACGGTTTCCACGGGCTGATTGCCCATGACTCAGAGTATGCCCTGTGCAACATACCTTCGTATTACAGCTCCCATGCCCTCAAGCTGAGCTGGAATGGCAAGAACCTTACCACCAACCAATTCCTTATGCAAGAAGTGGCCAAGCAGCTGGGCCTCAAGCTGAGCAGCTTCCCTGTGTTTGCTGCCTTGCTCGGTAAGGAGGAACCCCACATCGACAAGCTAGTGGGAAAAGCGGGCAGAGATTTAGGCCTGCTTTCCTGTTCAGAAGTAAAGCTCACTGAGAAATGATGCGCAAGGCACACACACACAAACACTTCTACTCTCTTTTTCAGCCCAGCTTTTGTCTCACAGGGCTACGACCAGGGTGTTGAGAGGATTTGAGTTGGAAGGCATCCCAAGGATCCTCTACTCCAACCCTCTGTCAGTGCAGTAGTAGAGAGGCTGAAATAAATAGCAGGAGGGAGAGTAGAGAACCCATGTGAATATGACCTTATCATATCACTTTCTGGACCTTGATGTTAGAATGAGCTGTAGGCCTTATTGAACATTAAGGTTAATTCCATTTCCCTTTCTTCTCTAATGATGCATAGCCTTCTCAGGTTATCTCTGCCACTGAAAAAAACTTAATATTACTGATGAAATGTTAAGTGTTTTTAGAGATATTCTGTGGGCAATGATTGTCGGAACATCTCCTTTTTTCCCCCAAAAAGGAAATGAAGTGAATTGACTTGTCATGGAGATCAAAGATATTCTGTGGGCAATGATTGTTGGAACATCAATTCACATGAAGTGAATTGACTTGTCATGGAGATCAATGTGTCTCTTCTACAGTGTTGTTGCTAAACATTTTATTGACAGTAATGTGTGTGTGATGAAGGGGCACGTCCTTTCTGTTTTCACCCGATGTCAGGTAAAGGCAAGCTTGTGCTGGGAACTTCCAAAAGACTGAGGATGACTGATCTTACGAGATTCTTGAAAAAGATTTTAGTCCAGTATTCTGATGTCTATCGTGCCTACCTGTCACCTATATGGCATCTCCTATGGAGAATTAGTTTCACATTTACAGCCTGCTCAGTGCGTGATGCTGTTCCAAATATGCATAACATCATGAGAGCTGGGGACTAGAAGAAGGGAGAGAGAATGTGTACTGAGACTTGAAGGAGTTTGTAATTGCATATGTATGAGAAAAGTTGAAAGGTCATAAGAAGTTGCCTTTCTCTTGTATCAGAGCAGAGCTTAGTTTTTTAGATTACAGCTGTGATCATAAAGCTGAGGAATTCTGAAAGTTGTAATTAATAAAAAAACAACTTTTCCAGGCTCAATCAGGGCATGATTGAGTCAGACCATCTAGACTACTCATGTCTGCTCTGACTGTGAGAAGTTCTTCAAGGTGATTTTAAACTGGGACCTTGTCCTGGTCATTGGTTCTACCCAGAATAGCAGCTGCACCCTTGGTGGCCCTGTGGAAATGTATTCAATGTCAGTCCTAGAAGGGGGTTTGAATCCCACTGTTGTTGGTTGGCAACTGTTCTAGTATCATGCCCCTCCTCACTCTCAGGGAACCACATCCTTCCGGACGAGGATCTGGCTGCCTTCCACTGGAGCCTGCTTGGACCAGACCACCCTCTGGCTTCACTTAAGGTAGTGCTCATATCCCCCTTGTCCTGTCTGGAAGGCAGCAAGACAGGAAATCCTGTCCTGAAAGGGCTACAGAGGGATCACCATTTGGGAGAGGAACCGGTTTGAGTGGTGTCTTGGGGACATGAAGTGGGGGGGGGATGGGAACCAGTGCTCCAAAGTCTTTGAGATGGTGTTCTAATGGGAAGCGTGTTTCTGGAAGGTGAGGAGAGCTGTTCCTCCTGAATTCTTCAACCAGTTCTCTGGAAGGAGTGGATCCTCATTATAGAACTGATGGTGAGGACAGCAGCATTGGGACTTTGGCCTCTTTTCTCAGATCCAGGAAGAAGCCTGAAGAATTTAGTTTGGTTGGGAATTAGAAAACAGGGCTTAAGGAACTAGAGTTGAGATCCTTTAGGGTTTGGTTAAGTCTAGAAATTGGTGACAGGTATGTTTGGAGGGGGTGCCACCATTACAGCTTTATATGCCCGAAGGACTTCTGTTAGGTGTATATAGTTATAAGCAGAGGCAAAGCAGAGAAATGAACAGCGATTATGGAAGGGGTTACTCAAGAAGGGGTTAGAGAGACATGTGACCCTCCAAATACTGCTGGAAGACAGTTTTCAATCATGACATACTATTGACTGTGCTGGGTGGAGCCAGAAGGAGTTGCAATCCAGCAGTGTCTGGAGAGCCTCAAGTTCCCTACTGCTGTTATAGACCTACAGTTCTCTAACTACTGAGAAATGCATGTTGTGGGTGGGCCCCTGCTAGATCACCTCAGAGTTGGAAATAGGATTAATACCTGGAAGTCTAAAGACCCAGTCTGACCCTGAGAAATAAACGTTATCCTCCATCCCTCTCACCCACCCAGTTGCAAACCTAAAGCAAAGAGGAATTTGCAGAGAGGATGAATTTCAGTGGCAGCAAGCCTTCTATTGATGCCGGGGGCATTGCCCCTTCCCTCTTCATGATAGCTGTCTGATAATGGCACTGAATGGCAGCATACAGTATGGAGAAGGTGCTTTGCTGCATTTTGAATCTGTCTGAAATTTTGGTTAAGTTAATGTTATGCTGGCTTCAGGTGCGTGCCCACCAGCTGGTCCTGCCACCCTGCGATGTGGTCATCAAGGCTGTGTCTGAGTACGTCAGCTCCATCAAGAACCCCTCCAACCTGGACATGATAGGGAGAGATGTCTTCAAGCACTCCCAGGTAGGATGAAGTCTTTGGTCCCTCTGTGTGTGTGTGTTTGTAAGTTTTCAGGTGTCTTGAGAGGCTGGGTTATGCTGGTACCAGGCCCATTCACCTAAAACCTGGGTAGAGGGAGTCACAGGCCACATAGAGAAGGGTAGAGGGATCTGCAGGAATAACAATGGAGCACTTGTCAGACAAAAGTTCAACTTTCTTTTTGTGAATTTTCAATGTCTACACATGTGGACTAGCTTCTGGTTCACTGCAGCCTCTGCTTTTTATCCTATACAGTAAGACTCTCATATCCACGGGATCAGTATCTGCTGATTCATTTATCCATGGTCTGAAAATAAAAAAATATTAAAAGAAACATTCCTGGAAATATACAGTACATAATGATAAAGTTACTAGAACTGGCCACTAGAGTGAGCCAGAAACCATGCTGTGTATAGCATTTGCTATTATAATAGCATTCTCTATAATCCCCATTCTTCAGTATCCATGGGGGGTGTTTGGAACCAATCCCCCATGGATATTGGGGCCCTACAGTAATACAGTGGTGCCTCGCACAGCGAGGTTAATCCGTTCCGGATTAACCCTCGCTGTGTGAAACATCGCGCTACGGAAAGTAAAAAGCCATTGGAACGCATTAAACATGGTTTAATGCGTTCCAATTTGGCCGAATACTCACCGTTGTGCGATGTTCCGGTATAGCTGGCAGCCATTTTCGCGCCCTCCCCTCCCCTCCGGTATAGCCGGCGCGCAACCATTTCGGGGCTTCCGGCAGCGTTTTCGCGCGCTCCCCTTGCTTACCAAGGGCGCGAAAACGCTGCGCCCCGCCATTTCGGGTGTTCCGGCGGCATGGTCTGAAAATAAAAAAATATTAAAAGAAACATTCCTGGAAATATACAGTACATAATGATAAAGTTACTAGAACTGGCCACTAGAGTGAGCCAGAAACCATGCTATGTATAGCATTTGCTATTATAATAGCATTCTCTATAATCCCCATTCTTCAGTATCCATGGAGGGTGTTTGGAACCGATCCCCCATGGATATGGGGGCCCTACAGTAATACCTGAAAATCCCATAAGATTATGAGACTCTTGCCTATTAGGTGGCTGAGTTGGCCATTTGGCTATCTGCTTGTAGGTGTAGTTCCTCATTGAATGCTATATATTCCCCTGGTTGGTTGTGCTCTTTTCGAGACACGTCACTTTCTTCCTTTTTACCCTGGTTCTTTCCCAGTCCAGGACCGAAGATAAAATTGAACGTTTCAAGAAGGCTGTAGAGTATTACTCAGTGGCCACGAAGGCACCCTCTGCACCAGTGGGCCAGTCCCCGTATGTTCGTGAGTATCCTGGCGACGCTGGTCAACTTCACCTCTCTCTCAACCGTGTTTTCTCCCGCTGTCCAAGAAGGTGAGGCCTTGCCTGATACCCTACAGCGCCCTCTGCTGGGAGAGGTCAAGTCTGAACTGCTTGTCTCTAGAGTTGTCACCTCCAGGCCCAGAGAGGGCTTTGATGCCATTTAATAGATCTGTGGCTGGAAAAACTGTGTGGTGGCTTCTCCAGTGCCAGAAGCTCCACCTGTTGGACTTTTCCATATCATGTTCTATTAAAGATACTAGAGCACCTTTCCTGGCCAGGTATATATCTCTATACGTATATATTTGGGCCATTCCTATAGCCTTCATTCTGCCCTCATAGTATTCTGTTTTTAACCATCCATCTTCACCTTCCACTGAGGTGTGCTCAAAATGCACAGAGCAGAAGTGTGTGCTTTGGATTTCAGAACAGACAAAACATACCTGGGCTGATGTTGAACATTCATTCTTGATTAAGAACGTAAGTGGTTTGCTGGGTCAGGCAGAGATCCCCTGATCCTGCATCTTTTGCAATAAGCCCAGCAATCGAAAGAATTAGGTTATTGAAAACTGACCAGCAGTGGAGTCTTATCCACTCTTTACCCTTATCCTGACCAGGGAAACCAACATGTCGTCTTTATTCCCCAAAGTTTTTTATTCTTAGACTGGAGTGGCTCAGAACCAGAGCTTGGGAACTTTCCTTTCCTGGACTATACCTTTCCTAATTGCTGGTGCCTGGAGGATACTGGGAACTGTAGTCCTGAAAGCAACTTTTCTGTGCTTTTCTGGAAGCTTGCTTTTTAAAAAACTAGTCCTTTTGCTCTTAATTCCTCCAATGTTTAGGGCTGGAAGAGAGAGAGTTTTTTTTTGCTGTCCTTCTTCCAACACTGTCTCCTGGGAGACTTGAGTAAACAGTTGGAAGATGTTGTCCCAAGTTGTGCTTCACAGAACCCCCAAGGTTCTCCAGATGTTCCTCTGTATTTTTTTGTGATGATGGTGGAATTGTGGTGTTTTTTGTTTGTTTGTTTCTTAGGAAATAAGTGTTTATGAGCAACCCTTCATAATCAGTCTTTGTTCATGTGAGGCACCTCCTAGTTTTATTGGGCCTTACAGTTTATGTTATTATTTATTTATTTAATTTTTATACTGCCTATTTGGCCAATGGGTGGTTCACAACAATGACAATAAACATAAAAACATATAATCAAAATGCAATTAAATTTAATGCAATTTAATTTACCTTAAATATATGTAAAAGAATTTTCTTTCCTGGGAGTTAAATAATGCATCTTCTTTAAGAATATTGTTTCTGGAAGTTAAAGAATGCACCTTAGCATGTCCTCTGCATTGTGCTGGGGTTTCTCTACGTGTCATTTATTTATTTATATACTTAGTTTCTGTGCCACTTGCAGTACTAAAAATCATGTGTCAAAGTGGTTTACAAACAAACTCTTTAAAACACTGAGTAGGCGACACTTAAAACAGTCAGCAGGTGAAACGTTCAAAAGCACGGGTGCAAAAACGTAATAGTCAAAGAGCACGGCCAGACCTGAAGTAGTGACTCGTTAACATTCATCCAAAATATGTTACCATGAACAAGGCTTACTGTATGAAGGGTTGTCCATCAGTTCCAAAGGCTGAAAATCCTAGAGAAATTATTTGGCTTCAGACCACAAACATAGGATAAATGTATCCACATTCGCTTACACGTGCATGCGCGCACGCACGCACGCGTGCGCGCGCGCGCGCGCACACACACACACACACACACACACACACACACACACACACACACTATCTTGGCTGAACCAGCTTGTGCACTGGCGGGCACCCCTCCTCGGTCCGCTAAGGTTCCAGGCAAGGGCACGCGGGGGCAACAAATTTCTTGCGTGTAATGAGATGACAATTCTGTGTTTCAGTCTCAGCTTTTGGACCCAACCACTTTGGAGGGTCAGCACCTGTGAATCGCAATCCAGTAGTGCCGCTCTCTTCTGGGAAGGCCATGGTAAGTTTCCAGACTTGCCTTAGGCAGATGTTGAATTTGCTTTGATGTTTCTACCACTGCTGTGTTCATGATGTAATGTGCGGCTGACAGTATCTCCTCATTGCTCATCAGGGCGAGTTGAGGGACTGTGTTGCTTGTTACAAACCCAGTCTGGGTTTGTAACATGGAACTCCTCTGTAGGTTCTGCTGACTGAAGTGGTAAAATGCTGGATTGTGCCACTTCAGATAGCAAGTGTGTGATGGGGCGGGGAGTCACATTTTGCAGTTTTCCTCCTCCCCTACTATCCATATAACAAGCTAGCACATTCGGAGAACTTTTCCCATTAGTTTATGGCATATAAACACAAAAATGCAGTGGAAGGTGTGGCATGTTCTGTCCCATCTGCAGTCCATCTGAAGTGGTCCAGTCTAGTTCCGTGGTTTCCAACCTTTTTTGAGTCGTGGCCTCCTTTTATAATGGCCAAGTGACCTACGTATGTCCCCACCTGCCACGTTTGCCTAAAAAGGCATTTTAATGGGGCAAAGCCATCTCTGAAAGCAGAGGCTTCTTTCTCCTTTCTCAGTGGGCCTGTTTCTCATATGTACACATACATGCTGACTTTAATATCTGGCTCCAAAAGGTCAAGGGAGAAATTGTTTAACAGGGTCTACAGATAAGGCGACACATGGACACACACCGCCAGAAAACACGTTGTGACCCTTCTTCGAGATTGCGACCCCCAGGTTGGGAAACACTGGTCTAGTTGGAGACCACCCTATCTCATTTGGCCTGTCAATCAATTAGGAAGGCCAAAGTTTGTTTCTGTAGCAGGCATGAGAAATTGTGCAAATAGTAAGTCTGCTCTGATAGATCCCTGAGCACACGTGACTTTCTGAGAGCTCGATTTTGCTTTGAGTTGAGATGCAAAAACTATATTATACTTCTGTATGTGTTTGAAATTCTTGTATAGAATCTGAGTGACAGGACCTCCAGTGGGAGAAGATTCTGTGCTGCAAATCCCATTTTCTATTAAAAAGCCTTTCTATACTGTAATATACTCATCTGACTGCTGCTCTCCACTAACCCAGTGTTGTTACATTTTGACTGGCTGCACCTCTTCACGGTCTTAGAGATCTTTTCAATCACTTTCTCTCTGAGTCTGTTTTTATCTGGGGGTGCCAGGGAATGAAATTGGGGCCTTCTACGTGTAAAGCAGATGTTCTGCTACTGTGTTGTGGTCCCCTCCTGACACCTGGCTAAGGTCCATCAACCCATTTTACGCTTCTCTCTGCTTCTGTCTCCAGTTTCCACCCCCGATGGGGCCAAAGATGCAGTACCAGCCGCCTGCCCCCCATGGTGGTGTTGCCACTTCCTCGTCATTTCTTCCCGGTCCTGGGTCCAATTTTTTCTTCTCTCCGCATGGCCTGACGGATGCGGCTGCCCCTTTTCATGAAGACCCTGCCTTGAAAGGGGGACACTACAACAACTGGCCGGCATCTTACGATAATTGTGCTGCCAAGTTTGCCAACCACCATCTCAGTTCCAAACCTTCTCCATCATCCGGGCCTGGCTCTTCACCCTCTTCCTCATCGGATGGAGAAGAACACAATGGAACCGGCATCAAGTGAGTGGGGGCTTCTCTCAGGTTCTGGAATGGGCAAGATGAACGCTGGGATGACAGTGGTGGTGGAGGAGCAGCCAAGTCTTGGATCTGCTGACCCCCACTCTGGGGAAGGAGAGATGCCTAGCGTGTAGCATCAAGGAGGGAGAAGAGCCAGGATTCCTAGGTTCTGATCCCTCTTTGAGGCAGAGAGGTAGGTAAATGGAAGTGAAAGCATCCTGAATTGACAGCGGGGGCGGGGGGTGAACAGCTGTAGCTGATCCACTGCTGGCCTCAGACTTGCCTATTACGTATGCTACATGTTTTTCAAAACAGAAAGTGATTGAAAATTCACTTCAGGTGCCCTTTCAATAAAGAAAGGTCCTGTGCCACATTTTAGCGGAAAAAATCACTGCTGGGGGTTTCCAGAAAAGTTATTCCCACTCTTTGACCGTATTTTATTTTCCTGGCAGTCAGGTGATTTGAGAGTTGATCTGGGGTCAGTAGAAACAGGAGTTGGGGGGCACCTTGAGCAACCCACAGTCTCTGTGCTTCCCAACCCTGCTTTACACCTTGTCCTGAGAAATGAAACAGGTTAGCATTTGCCTTTCATCTCCTTGCCTTAGCCATGTGTCAGAAACCGTACCTCCTCGCAAGTCTGGCTGGGAGGACCCAGGGGGCGAAAAAATGATGAACCAAGGCTGGGGGCAGGCGCCTGGGAGTACCGGCAACCCAGAGAGGAACCTGAGTGGATCTGCCGAGAACCACATCCCTTCGCTGCTCTCCATGGCAACCCGCAACCACATGGACATCACCACGCCACCTCTTCCACCAGTGGCCCCCGAAGTGCTTCGTGTGGCCGAACACAGGCATCGCCGGGGACTTATGTACCCTTTCATCTATCATGTCCTTACCAAGGTGAGAGGGGGGGAAATGGGCCTTTAACTGGCTTATGGCAGGAATTGAAGGGCCAGTGGAAAACGGCAAGAGGAGAGACAAACAGCATTTAGGACCCTAATTTTTCAACATTACAGGGTGAAATAAAAATTCCTATCTGCATTGAAGATGAATGTAACACAGAACTGCCCCCAGCTGCTGTCCTTTTTCGGGCTGCCCGGCAATACGTCTACGGTGTCCTCTTCAGTGTGGCCGAGACTCAGCGGCGGATGGAACGGCTGGCTGTGCGTAAGCGGGTCCCTGTGGAAAGTGAGTGGTTTCTTAAGTCTCCAGCAAGTGCTTGCTTATTAACTGCCATTCCTGTCATTCTTCAAAATGGAGGGCAGGCTTCCCAGAGGTCACTTGGGCAGTTGCTTGGTTACAGCTTGGCAGCAGTGGCAAGGGGTGTGCCATTCACTTTTTTTTTTTCCTTTTCGGACTGCCCACTCCCAGGACGGTCCAGGAATTCCCGAGGCACAATTCTGAGCGTTTTGTCCCACACGCATGTGCAGGCCTACATTTTGCTCACCTCGATCAGGGCCTGTCTCCGAGGCTGCATGGCTGTCTTGGGCCTTGATTCATGTACCCCAAAAAGAGAAAGAAAAAAAAGAGAGGAAACTGCTGTTGGTGCTTCCTGAGAGTCCTCCTTCAGGAGGTGCCCTTTCTAGAAAGGATAACAAGACTACAACCCCCAGGATGTTGCAACTTTTGTGAGGTCGCCCTTCCCTTCATTAACAAATAATCAATACATTCTTCCCAGATGTCTATAAAAGTGTGAGGTGCCCTTTCTAGAAAGGATAACAAGACTACAACACCCAGGAAGCTTTGTGGCAGTTTCCTTTTCTTTTTTTTTTTTTACGGTGATAACAAATGTTGCAACTTTTTTGAGGTCGTCCTTCCCTTCATTAACAAATAATCACTACATTCTTCCCAGATGTCTATAAAAGTGTACATAAATTCCTTCTTTACTTTCATATTACACCTTAGCTTAGCTCAGTGGTTTAGGTATTTGGCCGTGGAGCCACGGGTTAGGAGGTTTCTCTAACGGAACTTAAATTCATACAGTATTTATTTGATTTAATTTCACCGGAATTAAATACCATCTCCAAACTAAATTATAAAAATTTTCCTTACTCCTTACAGACATGGATTTCAATATTCTTATGTCCTGTATCTTCTCCTAACTCCCTGTATTTATTTCATCCCTCAAGTCATAATGTTGATCTTTCAACATTGTTGAGACTAAGTATTTTGTACTTATTCCAAATTAGTAATATATTTTTAAGAATATTGTTTATTTTGAATAAATGGTTTATAAATTCTTTAACCTTCTCTTGTTAGATTCTCTAAAAACAATGTTCTCGAAATTTGAACCTATTTCTAATGATTCCATATCATTTGGGGCCCTTCACTCCCATCCTTATCCTAGACATTATGGTTCACTGGACGTCGCTTAGAAGCATGTGAAGTCAGTTGTCTTTTCTTGCTGTTACTGTCTAGCATCTCGTCAATGGGATGTTTCTGAAAATGGCCGCCTGTTCAGTTACGATAATTTACAGCCCTTGAATTATCCTTCCTTGCTGAACTTGTCTCATCCTCTGAGCTACTGGGTGTTACCATATCTTGCGGCAGAGAATACTGTGTTTCAGAAATGTTCCACGTAAGGGGCACTACCTTTTTTTCAGCTGTTGTAGACCCTTAATTCTAGTGTTATCACAGAGGAGATGCCTTGCTTTGCTTTTTCCATACCGTGCGTCATTTAATATTTTATGAGTTTCATTTCTGTTCTCCGTGATCATGGCCTTTTTTTTGGTGGGAGGAATGCTAAATAAATTTAAAATAATCTCTTATCCAAGTAACCCCTCTTTGAGGTATCCACACTCCAGTCTTAACAAATGTTACATCTAAACTGTGTTCCTCTTGAGCATGTGCATTTGGGAAAGGGATGAAGCCTTGTAGTCCAATGGACTCTGTCCTTTCTTACACAGCTCATCCAGTGATCATCAAGGAATGGTCAGCATACAAAGGCAAGTCACCCCAGACTCCGGAGTTGGTCTCAGCCCTGGCCTTTCGAGAGTGGACCTGCCCCAACATCAAGAAGCTTTGGCTGGGCAAAGCAGTGGAAGACAAGAACCGCCGCATGAGAGCGTTTCTGGCCTGCATGAAATCAGACACGCCAGGCATGCTCAACCCTGCTAACGTCCCCACGCATCTGCTGCTGCTGTGTTGTGTGCTAAGGTGAGTGGGTTAGAATTGGGGAGGGATAAGAGGGAATGTAAGTGTATGTCAGCATCATTCATGGCTCCGTAGGCCAAGTGGAGTGTTTGATTTGTGACTGAGGTGTGGTGATGAGAATTTGGAGTGACATTTACTGAAGATCCTGCCACATACTCTGGAGGACAAATGGAGGGGGATGTTTGTAAATGAACCCATAAAGGTGGGGAGACTGGTCTTTTTTGAAGGCTGGAGGTTTCTCTGGTCTGTTTTATTTCATGCCATTATGTTTATATGGCGGTTCCCAATTCCATGTGGATTGGTGGTAGTGTAGGTTGAATTCCTCAGGCTTATCGGTCATTCTGAAGTATGGCTGGTGTCTTTTTTTCTGCTTCTAAACATGGTGGAGTGATTCTGGCCAGCTACTGAGGTGTGAGTACAAGATACTTTTCTAAATCAAGAAATCATGAGCGTGGAGCTCAAATTACACCTTGAGGCTCAAATTATGGTATTAACCAAAAACCCATGTTCATGAGCATTCATCTTATTTCCAAGAAAACGTAAGTTCAAAATTGCAACTGAACATGCTCTAGACTCCTAACAAATGTGTAAAATCTTCACATTATTATAATTGCCACCAAGGTTTAGGAGCAGGACAGAAAATATCCTTCTGGATGCCTGTTGCTCATTCTTACTGCATGATAGATTTTTGTTTGACATCTCCTATCTCCTTGTTCTACTTTTTTCCCTTAAAGATACATGATACAATGGCCTGGCGGTCGGATCCTGCACAGACATGAGTTGGATGCTTTCCTGGCTCAGGCTGTGTCTGCTCAGCTGTATGAGCCAGATCAGCTTCAAGAACTGAAGGTAGGTGGTTGGGTTTGATCCCTGCAACATTTTTATTTGAATGACATCAGAAGAAGATGTGACGATCACTTAAATTAGAATGAGCAGGTTGAGAAAGAGGAACTTCCCAGTTCTGTTTTTTCCCCCCTCAGAAGATAATTCCTTGCATCCATGAGCAAGGATTCAGAGTTTTTCTGTGAGCATACGCTGTGCATGTGCCACCACTGCCCTAGTCAGCCATCAATCTGTCTCTTGCTAACACACTGATTTTTATGTTCACCAAAATGAGAGGAGGAAATCCTTGTTTGCAGCTTATTAGCCAGTTCCCTTGTAAGCACGCCTCCTGCAGGATGACAAAAGCTGCAAACTAATGGTAAACAAGGATTTCTTCCTTTCCTTTTGTGATCAATTAATGTGAACAGATCTGGGAAAACCCAGATTCCCTGGTGTGACTCCACAGCAAATGGATATGAGTGAATTTTGTGTTTCCCTCGTGATGTGGTTGCACTTTATATGAGCCATCTGCCATATAGCCACTTAAGTACTCTGTACTTTGTTTGCACCTGCTGTCTGCTTCCAGCATATAATACCAGCTACAGGTACTCTTGGAGGAATCTGATGCCCTTGACCCATTCCAGTCCGGGTTTAGGGCGCGTCACAGCATGGAGACAGCATTAGTCTCCCTGCAAGATGCCCTTTTGAGGGAGGCCGACAAGTCCTCCTTGATCTCTCAACAGCCTTTGATACTGTTGACCATGGTATCCTCCTGAGGTGGCTCTTGGAGTTGGGGATTGGTGGCCCGGCTTTGTCCTGGCTCTGGTCCTTCCTCAAGGACTGACCTCAGAGAGTGCAACTTGGAGAGATGGTGTGTACATCTTGGACTCTGAATTGTGGAGTCCCTCAGGGGTCGATCATCTCCCTATTGCTGTTTAATATCTATATGAGGCTGCTGGGGAAGGTCATAAGGAGCTTTGGAGTCTTGTATCCTCAGTGTGCTGATGATGCTCAGATCTATCTCTCCTTTCACCCTTCTGCAGTGAATGCTGTCCCGTCCCTTGAGTGCTGCCTGGATGTTGTACTGGTGTGGATGATGGATAACAGACTGAGGCTGAAACTGGACAAGACGGAGGCCCTGTGGGTGGGTGCCCCTGGTGCCTGCAGTTTGAGTGCCTCCCTTTCTTTTGGGGGACTATTCTCTCTGCCAAGGATGAGGTTCGCAGTTTGGGTTATTCCTCGACCCAGTGCTATCGGTGCAGTCCCAGGTAGCATCTGTGGTCTGTTCTGCCTATTTCCATCTTAGGCAAGATCGCCCAGCTGCATCCCTACCTTGACACTGAGTCCCTCTCCATGCTGGTGATTAGACTACTGTACTGTAATGTTTTCTATGTGGGCTTACCCATGAAGCAGATACTGAAATTTTAGCAGGTCCAGAACATGACAGCTAGATTGTTGAGTGGATTAAACAGATACTTAATGAATGAATGAATGCTATGATCAGAATGATGTGAACAGAAACCTGCTGGCAGAGGACTAGATCTTTCTGGATGGTTTCACTGATGATATGAGCAGCCTGGATCTGTTGTTATGAGGCTGGAGCAAGAACCTTGGGCTTTATCCCAAACTGGCATATATTCCTTCCTATCACAGGCCTTGTGAAGGTATGATGTAAGTGCTCCTTGGGCTGGAGAGCTATTAACCAGGGCCTGAAGGACAAAGGAAGGGAGACATTGTGCCAAAGGAAAAGGCTCCTTAAGTCCAAAGTATGTTGCATGTGTTGCAGATTGAGAAACTGGATCCCAGAGGAGTTCAGCTGGCTGCTTTGTTGATGAGCGGAGTGGACACCGCTCTCTTTGCCAACGACGCTTGTGGGCAGCCTGTGCCCTGGGAGCATTGCTGTCCATGGATCTACTTTGATGGGAAGCTCTTCCAGAGTAAGCTGATCAAAGCCACACGAGAGAAGGCCCCTCTGATAGACCTCTGTGATGGACAGGTAAGCGCCAGTCCTCTTGGACAAGAGCTGATCCATAGCAGTCGGTTCTGCCGCTGACTTCCTTAGCTGGGCTGTAGCCTGTCTTTGACTGCAGTTACCATACCTACTTGTTCCCATGCCCAGCCCAGGCTCCCAGTCCTCCATCTACATACATTTCCCTCATAGAACAGGCAGTGGGATGGCACAGGACGGGATGTGGGCCTCTAAAGGAGAGAAGAACTGCTGCTGGTCCTGTATTGTGTGTTTTCCATTTTCTTCTCCGTCCAGCCCAGCACTCTTCAGTAAGCAACGGGTCTTCTCAGTCAGTGGTTGAGTAGGTAAGCAGGTCTGATAAATAGGTCAGGGTTAACCCCTCCCTTTTGAGAAGGGAAGACCAAGACAAAATTCAGTTTCCAAATTGGAAGGAGGAAATACTTTCCATTTTTGTTTTTATCTTTGTTTAAAAAAAGAGAGAGAAAGGCAGGTCTTGTTGATTCTAAGGAACAACCTACTGCAGTTCTTACTGTTTGTTTGTTTGTTTGCGTTATATACCGCCCATCTACAACGTGTCGACTCTGGGCGGTTTACATATAATATAAAAATCTACTCTGGGCGGTTTACATATACTGTACAGTAATATAAAAATAAACAAAGATAAAATCCAAATTAATCCAAGATGGGAAAGGAAAAAAGAAAGGGGGGAAGAAGAGGAAGAAGGAGAAGGAGAGAAAAGAAAAAGAAGAAAAGGGGAGATAGGCTAGGTAATGGCTGTAGGGAAGGCCTGCCTGTATAGCCATGTCTTCAAGCTAGTCTTGAAAGGCCCTCAGCGAGGGAGCCAAGCGGATCTCAACATGTAAGTTGTTCCAAAGGTGAGGGGCCACTTCCAAGAAGGCCCGATTTCTGGTTTCTTCCCACCAGGCCTCTCTTGGTGTTAGGCCTCTCAGCCTAACTGGAGCGGGTGATACGGGTAGAACTGGGTTGAAGAAGGTCCTCTGCCAGGTATCGAGGGCCTAAACCGTTAGCGGATCTGAACACGTAAGTTGTTCCAAAGGCGAGGGGCCACTTCCAAGAAGGCCCGATTTCTGGTTTCTTCCCACCAGGCCTCTCTTGGTGTTAGGCCTCTCAGCCTAACTGGAGCGGGTGATACGGGTAGAACTGGGCTGAAGAAGGCGCTCTGCCAGGTATCAAGGGCCTAAACCGTTAAGGGCTTTATATGTAATGGTTAACACGAACACGTAAGTTGTTCCAAAGGCGAGGGGCCACTTCCAAGAAGGCCCGATTTCTGGTTTCTTCCCACCAGGCCTCTCTTGGTGTTAGGCCTCTCAGCCTAACTGGAGCGGGTGATACGGGTAGAACTGGGCTGAAGAAGGCGCTCTGCCAGGTATCAAGGGCCTAAACCGTTAAGGGCTTTATATGTAATGGTTAACACCTTGAAATCACTGGGGAAGCAGATAGGTAGCCAGTGTAAGGCAGTGGGGGAAATATGGTGAAATCTTTTCATCCTTGTTAATAGCCTGGCCACCGTGTTCTGTTTTTAAAGTTATTTCCCCCCTTTTCTTCCATTCTCCCTCCTCCTATAATTTATCAGCCAGAAAAAAAAGGAAGAGGCATCTCTTGGGGAAAAGTAGTGGCACTTAACTATGTAGGCTTCTTGAGACCCTGGGAAAGCAAAGGTGAAAGCAGTACAAAGCCAGGAACCCGTGTACTTCGTTTCAGCGTCCTGTTTGTTTGCCACTGCAGCTAACTCCGGCTTTCTTCTTAAGGCATCTGGACCACAGGGTGGAAGTCATGGAGACTATGCTGATACAGTGGCCTCGGGGACTATGGAATGTCTTTTCCCTCATCATCCTTCTCATCAGTAATCTGGGCTGAAAGTTACCGTATTTTTCGCACTATAAGACACTTTTTTCCATAAAACGGGGGGATGGAAAGTCTGTGCGTCTGGACTATGCTGATACAGTGGCCTCAGGGACTATGGAATGTCTTTTCCCTCATCATCCTTCTCATCAGCAATCTGGGCTGAAAGTTATACTGATTGCTCTCTGAGGGCTCCATCACTTCTGATTTCCAAAACTGGGGGAGTAGAGTATGACCCCCACTGTTGAAGTTGCCAGTTCAGATGGACTTTGTCTCTCTGCAGTGTTTGTAACACCCAGGCTGGAGTGGATCTGCTTGGAGAGTGAACAGCAGGGACCCCTAGAGAATGGGCTGCTGAGAAAAGTAGTAGATATCATCTTAGCCCAGAATGGCCACCAGATTGCTGCTTGTGGAATCTGCAACCACTGGGGGTGATCCAGCAGCAATTTTTGTTGATTAAAGCCCCCTCTTCCCCTCTCTGCAGCCTCCCAAAGGGCTTCCCCGGGATAAAAGCCCCGGGGATCCTTGGAACTTAAAATGGAGGGAATCATTAGATAAATTTAAAATAAATTTTAGCAGCACAAGCTGATGATGTCATCCGTTTCTGCCACACAAAGTTATGGCCATGAGTTTTGTAGCGTAGTTGTTAGGGTTCCTGGAATTATTGCTGGCTGTCCGGCTGGTGGCAAGAGTGGAAGTTTGTCTTGGCCCTGCCTTCTCAGGAAGAGGAATGTGCCACAATGCCTCGCCTCTTTCCTTGACTTAAACCTCTGAGCAAACTGGTATCTGGTTATTCATATTCTTGGTAATATCCTTGATTATTTTATCCTGGGGATTTTAAAAATTGACACTTAATTTACAGAAGGACTTTTAACTCTCACCGATACAAGTGTGAGAGTTTAAACCACTTAACGTCATTTGGACTGTAGCTCTCCATAACATTAGATAATAGTCAATATACTGCATTGTGTCAACGGCAGCTGTCCCTCTTGCCTCCTTATACTTAATCTTAATTCTATCTTGAATGATCAATAATTGAATAATATTAATAATAGTTACTGTATCAATCAATATCACAAAGATGTAACCGAATATAGGATAGGTTTGAGTAATACTCCCAAACCATCACCAAACTGTTGTTGTTCTTCTCTTCGTTTTGCTCTTTGGCCAGGCTGAGCAGGTGTCCAAAGTCGAGAAGATGAGGCAGAGTATCTTGGAAGGCATCAACCTCAACCGCCAGGCCCCACCACCTTTGCTCCCCCCTCCCCCCTTTGTCTCCTCCATGGCCCCACCTTTTTATCCTCTGCCTATCTACCCTCGCACGGTTGGCTCCATTCAGCCCCCAGGCCCTGGGAGGACCAGAGGCTTCACGGGTAAGTGGCTCGGTTTCCTGTTGCCTGTGCCATATGCTTGGTTCAGAGATTTTTGTATACTGCTTTTCTGTATGTAAAAGTGCATTCAGAGTGGGTGGCATCAACAGAGTAAGAATTGACCGTAAAATTCAAAATAAATACCAGTGCCAGTGAGCACTCAAGATCCAAGTAATTGGTTTGTGGCCAAAATCTTGTTCAGCAGTTAAGCTGCTGGAAGCGGAAATGGTGTTGACTCACAGCAGCAAATTACCTCTAATTAGCTAGTCTCTGCTTGGATGCTTGGTGGTGCAGCAATCCACCCAGCTAGCACACAGTGAGAAAGCCAAGCAAGGACTTGCTATTTAGTGGCAATTAGCCATGGTGAGTTGCACCATTTCCTGGGACATTCAGGTATGAGCGCTGGCTTAGCCACTGCCATTTCTCTAATGGTCAGAGTTTTTACTTTTTGCCCAGAGGAGGTGTTTGACCAATAAGTTCCTCATCTGAAAAGACATTAACTGCTTACACATACACAAACTAACTAACTAACGGCTTGGGCCCTGGATACCTGAAGGACCGCCTCCTTCCATATGAACCTACCCGGCAGTTAAGATCTAGCCAGGGGGCCCTTTTGAAAGAGCCGTCCCTCAAGGAGGTAAGAGGGACGGCTTGTAGACAAAGGGCCTTTTTGGCAGCTGCCTCCAGACTATGGAATGCCCCCCCAACTGAGATTCGTCTGGCGCCGACACTGATGACATTTCGGCGCCAGGTCAAAACCTTCCTGTTCCAGAAGGCTTTCAATTGTACAGTAATAATATCAACTGTGGGTCCTGATTGCAATTTTAATTGTATTTTAATTGTTTTATCTTTTTTTACTGTATTTTAATTGTTGTGAGCCGCCCAGAGACCTTTAGGTAGTGTGAGTGGCATATAAGATAAATAAAAAAATAAGATAAAAATAATGTGCTCATTAATTTTAAGTGCTTTGATCATTGTGATTTTAATGGTTTTATTCTGTAGTTACCTTTTGTTTTATTTTTTCCATTATAGCTTTTAAAGGCAGACAGAACTGAGACTAATAAAGGATAAATGAAATGTTTGTGTGTGTGTGTGTGTGTGTGTGTGTGTGTGTGTGTGTGTGTGTGTGTGTGTGTGTTTGTGTCTGTGTGTGTAGACCTGCACCACAGGGTGTGCACATCACACACACACACACACACACACACACACACACACACACAGAGAGAGAGAGAGAGACACCCTCTTTTTAACCTATAGGCTGTTCCTGTTGGACCTAGGACGCTACCGGCTCTGCTTTTGCCTCTTACCTGTCTTATTTCCTTCTTCTAGGGCTCCATCCTATCCCACCCCAGGGAGGCAAACTGGAGATTGCAGGGATGGTGGTCGGCCAGTGGGCTGGGAGCAAACCCTCCCGGGGGCAGGGCTCCTTCGGCATGCAAGTTGTGTCGGTTGGAGGCCCTGGGAAAGGGTAGGTGTCCAGTCCAAGGGAAGCCCCCTTGGCCTTAAACAGTTGCTCTCAAAAAAAGGGGCTTTCTCCTGTGTGCCCCGTCTACCTTTTATGATCTGTGGATTCCTCGTGGGGATGGAGAGGGGAAACAGACTTTGGATTCTGTCTCTCAGTATCCCAAAAAAAAGGGGAGCCGGGAAGAGAAGAGGAAGGGGCATCTGATGGAAGGAAAGGGTCAGCTAGTTGAGATCCAGTGGGTCGCATTTAGAACAAGTTGAAAATTGTTCAGGGCATGGCCCACTGAATTTATTTGGACTTTCTTCTGAATAGGTATACAGTATATGATGGATAGTCCTGTAATCACCTGCAAATTAGCAAGATTTGCTTAAGTACTTATAAGCGGTCTGTCAGTTTAAAAAATAATGTTGTTTCATGTTGTCTTTTAACCAATTATCTGGTGAATCAGTTATGTTTGAGTAAAGTTTTTGAATGATGAGAAGCAGTATGAAATAACTTTCATTTTATTAAAAAAACAAACAAACAATATCCGCAAGAAGTGGAGAAAATAAAGGGCATCTGATCTCTCAGCTGAGCTGATGCAGCGGATCCTGCTTCCTGTCCCTTCCCTGCTTTTGTAGTGAGAAGGAATAGCTGCTGGCCAATGACGCCTGAAGGAAAGGAGTGAAATCGCTGCCATTTCCTTAGGATTAGAACAGTGCTGGTGTGATTCTTTTGATGGCCTGTGCAGTCCAGCACATAAAATCCGCACAAATTATTAGCCCACCGTTTTTCATAATCCACCTGTCTTTGTCAACATATGGTAGCCACTGTCTTGAAATCTCATGTTTTGGAAAACTTCTCTGCCTGAAACATGAATCGTAATTGCCCGGTTGAGGGATTATTTACAAGTGTGAATCTGCACATGAGTTTGTATGATAATTCATACTTTTTCCCCCCTTTGGGAATGGTGGGATGATGAAATGATTTTCTCTCACTTTTGTTGGTGAAATGCTAAAGCCATCACACTGTTCTCTTTGTTCCTTTCTTTGTTTTTGCAGCCGTGGCCGTGATGGCTCTGGGAAAATTCCTAAAGGAAACAAGAAAGTGAACAAGCAGGTATGTAGGTACCCCCTTTGTTGCTCTTCCCTTCCCAGGATCTAACAGGTCCAGTTTTCTGCACCTCTGCTAGGCAACCGTAATCTGGCTGTGTTTGCTGTGTATTTCTGGGAATTACAATCCAAAAAGAAGACCTTCATAAGCCTTCATTCTCTAGCTGTTTTATTGCCCCATCCAGGATAGAGGTTTCAGTCCATCAAGGAGAATGAAACACTTATTTCCTGTCTCTTACAAAATGAGCCATTGCATGTAAAGAATGGCAGATGGCATGTAACAGCATCTGTGGATTGGGCGCATGATCCCCCAGATGGAAACTAGATCTGTGGGTATTTCACATTGTGGGTGGCTACAGAGAATTACCATGTTGCACATAATGTGGGTAAAAAGTCTCCTTGCTCTGCCTGGCAGGATGACACAGGTGAATTTCTAGTCCAATTTGGACATCTGTGTGGACTTTGCGTTACTGCTAATGCAAAAGCCCCTGGATAGAAACAGCTCCCTATCCCCATCTTAGAAGGTCAACTCCCCTTTTAATACATCTGGATTCAGTACTGGTTGAAAACATTCTGCTTCTTGAGACAAAGCAGTAAATCGCAAACACACATCCCTCCTCCCTAGGACTACTCAAGCTACGTTGTCACCTAAGACAGCAACTCCCCTGGTAGAATTGAAACAGCAGCAAATTAAGTAACGGTTGCCTGCTGTTTGCTTCGCACCCAAAATCAACTGCCCTCAGTCTGCCTGGCAGTAGTTCTGCTTCCTCATTTATCCAGAGCCACCATCTTGTGTTTGGCAGGGCTCTACCGATGGACCCGCAAAGACAACAGAATTGAGCAGCAGCAGCAGCAGCAGTAACAATAGCAGCAACAGTGGCGGCGGCGGCAGTGGCAGCAACAGTAGCCCCCAGTCCCAGGTGAATGGGAACGGGGGCACCACCTCTGCAGCGGGTGAGGACCCAGCCGTTGGAGCATACCCCGCAGCCACATCACCTTGTGCCTTAACCAGAGACACTGACTCGTGCAATAACAATGGCACGTTCTTCGGGACCCTGAGCGGGGACCCTGAGCGGTGCCCGGAGAACAAGCTTCCCTTCCAGGCTCTACAGAAAGAGGAGTGAACAGGAGCCGCTGGGGCTCTGATTGGCCGGCAATTGGGGGGCAGGAGTGGGAAGAGGAGAAGTGGCAACTCCCCCCCCCCTTTGGCAGCCAGGAGTGGGGCAGGGAAGGGTTAGCAGTGGAAGCACTTTTGTAAATCCATGGAATGCCAACATTATCAAGTGCTGGTGGTCGGGACTGTACAGGGTTGAGCAGACGAAGGAGGAGTTGCTTCCCTGATAGCTCATACTGTGCGTTTTGGAGGGTTCCTACAGTGAGCTCTGATCACTAGTGGATTGCAGCGTGGGTAACATGGAATGTTCAGGATGTGACCACTTCCGCTGTTTGCACTCCTGCCCTTCTTGAATTTGCCATCGTGCCAATCAGATCCATGACGGCGGCATCATTTTTTCTTCTTTTTTAAATTTATTTGAATTTGTTTTTCTTTTCCTTTTTTTTTAATTTTATAGGGGGGGGAGTCTTTTTAAGGGGCAAGAATTCTGGGTTTTGGGAAGGGGATATTTTTAAAGGAGAAAAAAAAAGCCGGCAAGGTTTTATTTTAAAATGGGGCAGATTTTTCCTGCCTGCCTTGTTCATTTCTTGCCAGCTCCCCCACCATCAGACCAAATAGCAGTATTGCTCTGAGGAATGATGGTAACGGGATGGAATAAAGTGGGGGAGGCAAATGATTTTTAAAAGAGAGAAAGAGAGAGTAGCACAGCTGTTGCAAAGCATACACCACGTGTGTATAGTGGTCAGCATGTGCATTTTATTATATATATGAAAGAGAGAGATAGAGATTATATTTATATATAACATGAATAGAGCTATATATAAATATGAACGCGGCAAACCCAGAAATGGGTTGAAATGTTCCCGGGAGATAACTTGCATTCTGAAGCGCTATGCGTTTTATGAATTAAAGACCTGCTTCCATAGTTCCCAGCACTTAGCCTTGCCAGCAAGGCGGCTGGGCTGGATGAGGCTGGTCTCCCAATACCAGACAGAAAATTTATTATCTTTCAAACAGACAAGCACTTACTGTTATGTACATTTTTCCAGGACCCTGAATCAATGGATATAGTCTTGGAGCTGGAAAGGAGGGTGTGGGTGGATTGCCAGCCAATTGAGAAGTGCCTCAGGGGTTTGTGGAGAAAAAGGCATCAGTCCTAACCCAGAGCCATCAGAGTGGTGGTGATCCTATCCTGGGATAGGATGGCTTGGGAGATCTGACACTGTTCAAGTGGCCATGGCTTCTCCTTCTCTGTAGACAGGGCTGTATGTACTCGGTCACATCAGCACAGTCTTAAGTCTGATATAGAAATTGATAGTCTAGGAATCCCAGGTTGTCATATATTTTTTAAAAAATTTTGAGTCTAGAATTCAAGTACCATTTTTAGCAATAATAATTATGGGGAAAATTTGTAACTTTCTAGTGCCGTGCACAACTCCTTTTCTTTGTCTTGCTGCTGTGTTTCCTTTGTCGTTGTGCCCCTTTGGGTTTCCTAATCTTTCTGTTCTTGGGCCGTTTCTTCCCATTCTTGCTTGGCTTGTCGCTCTGCAGTCCTTCTTAAAACACTGGAAAACAGAGATGGGCATGAACCACGGTTTGGCTGCTTGGTGCGGCACTCGCACACATGTTCTGTGGGTGCCACACACTTCCCTCCCCCACCTCCTCTGAGTTATCGCCCACTCACCCACCAGCAGCAGCGTGCTTCCCTCCTTGCCTCCTCTGGGTGACTGCCCACTCAGAGACAGCACCTTGGGCTTCCCTGCCCCACCTCTTCCTCTGAGAGGGCGGCTGCCAGAGGAGGTGGAAGAGAGATGCCAGCTACTTGCTGCCAGTGTGTGGCCAATTGCCCCCAGGAGGCAGGAGAGAGAAGCGTGCGACACCTGCGGCGGACCTGTGCAGGTTGTGTCCATCTCTACTGGAAAACGTTGGATTTCAGAAGCTAAGTAAATAGTATCAAATAAGCTATAAACATGTACAAGAGGTGTGTAATAATTTTTTTTTTAAAAAAAAGGAAGAGTACATACAGCTTTGCTTATACAGAATGAGGAAAATGTGTGTTTTTAAGGTGAAGGATCAATTAACTTGAGGTGGAAGTTAGGACTACAATTTGGAATGACAGATTTGTTGGAAAGAGAATGTCAAGCCAAATTTTCAGCTCTGTCCATGCATGCAGACTTTCTGGGTGTATGATGTTTAATTTCCATGATACGTAGTTCAGATTCCTAGATTGTTAAAGTCTTGGTAAAATCACTTCAAAGTGATTTGTGGCCCTCTGTCACAATTCCAGTAGCATGGGTGAAACTGGCTCTTGGAACACTGTCCCTTTGTGGCTTGCCCCACCTCGTTGACGCTGAATAGTTCATCCTCTGGCTTCTTCCACAAGAAGCATGGGTGAAACTGGCCCTTGGAACACTATCCCTTTGTGGCTTGCCCCACCTCGTTGACCATCATCCAGATTTACAAAAGACATTTTTTTCATAACAGTGTATCATAAATGTATGAAATTCGTTCCCACAGCATAAATGGTGATGGTCATTGCCTAACGTAGCTCCCATTGATAAAGAATTAGACAAATTCCTGGCGGAAAGATTTATGAGCTGGAAAGGTCTGCTAGCCATATTAGCTGCAGGGGAGCACACAGGTAGGGGCAGTATCTTCCTTTCATTTCTTGGGGAACATACGATCCCCAGTTGCTTTCTGCTTAAGACCTAGAGCAGGAGTGGAGAAGCTTTCAAGGTCTGCATTCCTTTGACTGAGGAGTTTCAGGTATTATGCTCAGATTAGGTCTGCGTGGCAGCAATGGGCATGACTGCAACTAAAAGCAGGCAGAGATGCTCCTACTTCTGTCCTCTCCTCCACCAAGCAGGCTGCCGGGGTAGGTCGGTGGGGACAGATCCCTTTTGCCAGAGATATGATTGTCTGCAGAGGGCTTTTGAAATGAGACATGGGGCTGCGTAAGGTGCCTGCCTTTAACTTTGAGCTTGAGCTGTGTGGGTTGGGTTCCTCTGTATGCCTTCAGTGCCACCAGCAGTCTGGACTCTCAGAGTCTGAATTGTTGGGTGATGTGCAAGGAACCATCTTCCTAACTGCTAGAATTTCATAACTCAGTATAACCTAGAGATGGCTGTTTGTGACCCAAAGCTGCAGAGGAGCAAAGTGACCACTTTGTCCCAGTTATGGGTCTCTCCACAAATGCTTCATAACTAAATGTCCATGCTGAGGGCGGAGGAGGAACCTAGTCAAAGCTTTCAAGCTGTGGAAAAGGCTGGAATCCACTCTTCCTTTGCAGTAGTGCTGTGCTTTTGATTCATGTCAACAGGGCAAGGCAGCACGCAGTTGCATATCAGAGCTGTTTGGCTTGGGATTTTTTAGAAAACATCCTAGCTTCAACCTCAAATGGATTAAGCCAGCTATTGGGGGTGGGGTGGGAATGAACAATTTAAATGTGCCCTCCATCACAAACTGTGCTTTGGTTTAGGACTGACCTGATGATGCAGAAATATATTCACTTTATTCCCAGGGTTAAGGGAGGGAAAAGTCTTTACTGTATAAATCATCTGACATGATGATACTTCCTGTTATATACACAGAACATTGCTTAACCCCCTTGGGAATCAGATTCCTATATGGGGCTTATAACATGATTGGCATCTTTAAACGTTACCAGAGAAGAAAGATTGAACACCCTGTTCTCTTAGGGTGTTTCAGCCACTTTAATGTGACAGTATTTACTGGGGAGAAAGATAACTTCCTCCCCTTACCAGTAGCATAAGCTTTCAGGCAATGTAACCACGGCCAGTTCTGAGGTCTAACCCAGAATTAGGAAGAGACTGACCTGCTTGGGTCATTGAGTCACATCCCAGGCTTACCAATACGCATGCATAATCACTATCGTATCACACAGCCCACCAAGGCAGCTGTGTCTTGGTCTTCTGTTACATTCATTTTCTTATACTAGATTTCTAGTGCTTGAGAAACCGAATCCTTTGCTACAGGATCACCATCTTCTTTTACTGTATTTTATGTTAGCAATGCAACCAGGCGAGATATTGATTGTAAGGGATAGAAGAATGCATTTTATCTCTTTCGTTTGCAGAAATGACTGTGTCTCAGGTGCAAACTGGCACTTCCTTGGTTGTAATAGGAAAGTATCATTTCAAAGTTTGTAACCTAGTTGTGTATGAGTGGTGTGATTCTGCAGGAGTGTGGAAGAGTAATGATTGTTGCATTCGGGGCAGAAATCGTTTTCTGAATCCCAGCTTTTAAAATTTTCTATTCCAAGTGATGACAAATATATTCTTCAAAGTGTGGGCAGTGCTCGGATGAAATAGCCAATGCTCCATGGATAGCTAAGTAAGATTTTCAGTGGTAGGGTAAGACCTCTGCCTGTTCAGTGACAATTGAAACCAAGAAAAATAAGCAAAATAAGAATGTACAAATGTATCATTTGCATCCTTTATACAGGTAGCAGAATTTGACGTTTAAGATTTTAAGTTTAATTTTGTTGCCACTCAGAGAACACAAAGGCTTGGTTTCTTCTTTCGAAGCTCTGAAAAAATGAAGTTTGAACTTCATTCCAGACTTTCTTTCAAAATATCCTAGATCCTTTTTCTTTAAAATGGTAGCTGTGATATTTCAAAAGTGGATGATTGTATTCAGAATTTCTTTGCTATATGCTGAGCCAAAAAGACACCAGACATTATACAGTATATCTTTAATGGAACTTTATGGAACTGAGAGTTGGGTGGGGTCATTAATTATTGCAGAGAGATTTTAAATTGAAACCCAGTGTGGTAAAGACAAGGATGAAAACTGCTGGCTTTATTTCTTCAGAATCAATCCAAATGACAAGACAGCCCCCTTCCATGCATCTCTTTGGACTTCTAAGTATATTTTATTTCTTTTTAAAATCACAATAGTCTTCTTGCATAATTCTAACATTCTTGCTGACTCAGCCAAATGTGAAAGAGTAGCTCTGACATACATTGCAGCCTGATTCAGCAGCCACAGAGAGAATCCATAACACGAAATTATAATTAGATTAATGCCCCCAAAATAACTTCTTGGGTCAATTTCGTCTATAATATATTGGAACTTAGTATAGACCATGTTTCCAGGCCATGCTGGAAACATGTAGCATGAATAACAAGAACAGGTAGTACGTACCTGAATCCAAGACTTCAGTTGGCTTGCTGCAGGAATTCGTTAGATCAGGGTTTTACAATTGGATCCCTCAGTTGTCCTGGATAGCTGATCTGGCTCTTCTGCCCCAGTGCAGATTTTTATGCCATTTCTAGAAGATATATGTGTTGTAAGATTCTGATATGTATCTTCCTGCAGGAGTGAGAATCTTCCCTCTGGGGAAAGTGAGGCCATTTCCCCCTTAGTATTAACACCCATGGATCAGCATTTGAGAGAACAGCAATCACAGCTGGGGTGTTTTTATGTCTTATTCCATCTCAATAGCACTAACTATAGACTTGATTGTACCCCACCTTCTAAACATTTGATCCTAATGGAATATGGTCCATTTCCATCTGCTAGATGGAGATGTTATTATGAATCATTGCTGTGCTATTAATTTTGGTGCTGAGAGTGACCTGATGTTATCTGGTGTTTCACCACCACCACCACGTGCTGTGCCTGAGCTCCAACCAGAAAGACTTCTTTCATGGCAAAAATATATTATTGAGTTCCATTTGCTTCCTTTTAGATAAAGGAAGGGTCCTCCTTTGGTATGAATTCAAACAGGAATACAACCAGTCCTAACTTATTGTACAGTGGTGCCTCGCATAACGATTTTAATTGGTTCCAAAAAAAATGTTATGTGAAACATCATTATGCGAAACACCATTTTCCATAGGAATGCATTGGAAACCGGTTAGTCCGTTCCAATAGGCACGGATTGCCGTCCTTAAGCGAAAAAACCCATAGGAAACATCGTTAAACGATACAATGTTTCCTCCATTGGAATGTATTGAAGCTGACTCAATACATTTCAATGGCTTTGCGAAGTCAATTTTTGCAAAATTAAGTGTGTCATAAAAGGGTCAAAAATGGTTTTAAATGCTTGGATTAGCTTCTGCACCCTCTAAAACGGATGCAAAAGTTAATTTGGCTTTGATCTGACTTTTCGTTAATTTATGGTGAATTTTTTCCCCCCAACTTTTGACAGCTGTCAAAATCTGACAGCTCCATTATTTCCTATGGGGGAAGAAAAAATTCACAAAAAATTAACGAAGACTCAGCAACTGTTCTAAATGCTTGGGTTCGTTAGAGGACCCCCTAAGTCGTGTGCAAACCTGATTTGGCTTTGATTTGAACTTTCGTTAATTTATGGTGAATTGTTTTCTCCCCCATAGGAAAGCATGGAGCTGTCAGATTTTGACAGGTCCATTGGTTCCTATGGGCCGGAAAAAAAAATTCACCATAAATTAACGAAAAGTCAGATCAAAGCCAAATCAGGTTTGCACATGACTTAGGGGGTCCTCTAACGAATCCAAGCATTTAGAACTGTTTTTGACCCTTCTAAGACATTTTTTAAATTGAAAAAAGAAACATCGTTAAGTGAAGCAGGGGACCTAAAATTGCATTCGTTATGCGAAGCATGGTCCCAAACTTCGCTGAGCGAAAATCGCCCATAGGAAACATCGTTATACGGTGCATATTATTTTCTAAAAAAACACATCGTTATGCGAATTCATCGCTAAACGAGGCAATCGTTAAGCGAGGCACCACTGTACTAGGTTCCGTTTCTGGATTCTCAGTATATTTCTGGAAATCCAGCCTACTTCATTAGCACTTAATCCATACAGTTTTACATATGGATTTTGGCCTGCTTTCTTCATAGTTTTGTGACTCTGGGGAGGGGGGCTTGAAAACCAACCTACCAACCAATATTACCTGTATATCTCTTACAAGTCTTTCTTCCCATCCTGAGGGAATAAGACAGGATATGACTGGTTAGCGGATCTCAAGCCATGGGCACCAGTCGGTTTA